CACTCTACACTCACACGTCATTTTGGGCCTGGAGCCCTGTTCACGCGCGCGCGAGACGTGCAGACAGGGTTGCCAGGTGAGAGCGAATGGCGCGGTTCACGTTTTGTTTTTTCGCGATGTGTGTATGAGAGTGGTCACCATTTTCTCATAAAGGATTCAGCGCTACATAGCGCTACATCCTACAATATAGACAAAAAAAAAGCTAGGTGGGAGGCGGCAAAGCGACGGCGGCGAGCCGAGCAGCAGCATAATCACACATACACTGGATACCCATCACTGAGCCGACGATGCTACGGGTAGCCCCAGGGTGGCGCCCACCCCCATACCCTCGGGCACTTGCCTGCGCCCTCGCGCGCTAGCCCACGCCCTGCCCCACAAGATCTCACTCCATCCCGGCCTGCGGCATACCTCGGCACCCCCTTGCACGGAATTTCAAAACGCCCAGGTACCCTGCTCAGACCGGCGAAGCGCCACACAGTGCCACGCAGTGCCGCACAGTGCGGCGTGCGCGGGGGCGTGCGCGGGCGTCCGCGGGCGTCCGCGGGCGTCCGCGGGCGCGGGCATCGCGGGCATCGCGGGCGTGCAGGCGCAGGCAAGTGCCCGAGGCGCGGGCGCGCGCGGGCGGGCGCGGGCGGGGCGCGGCGTGGGCGCGGGCAGGCGCGGCGCGGGCACGTGGGCGGGACATGGGCGGGCGCTGGGCTTGCACCGCCGCATCTAGGCGACTCGGACCTCGACGCCTCCGACGAGGAGTTCGTCCCGGGGCAATTTAACCGCGAACCGGCAGGACCTGGAGGAGGACCACGAGGACGACAGGGACTACGGCAAGCGCAACGGCGATGCGGGCGAGTCGCGCGGTTTGTCGAGAAACTTGGAGCACTTGGAGTGCAGTCGGTAGCCTAAGCGCACCCAGCGAGCCAGATGAACGGGATCGGGTTACGGGCTAGAGGGCCCTACCTACCTAGCACCAGCTTCGGCACTTGGAGCACTTGGAGTGCAGTCGGTAACCTCACATGCCCGCGCTGAATTCTTTTTTGACTCTAGTCGAGCCGCGCGCGAACACACAACCTCAACACCGAACAACAAAGCACTCCATGGCCAACAAAACCTGCCTAGCGCGCCTGCGAAAGGAGCTTCGCTCATTCGACCCGCCGCCCTTCATTCGCGCCGCACCACTCGAGTCCAACCTCCAGGAGTGGCGCTATGTGCTGCAGGCGCCAAAGATTACACAGTGCAACGCGGGCGTATCAGAAAGCCCTCTTCGTTCGCGCGCCACTGGCTGGCGTTTGCTCTTACCGGGCTCTTCCGCTCCTCCGACCCTCTAGGGCCCGCCCGACTCGCCGTACGAGGGGGCGCTGTACCACGGCAAGCTGCGCTTCCCGGACGACTTCCCCTTCAAGCCGCCCGCAATCT